TGCGTCCAGACACTGAAGCTAAGAGCACGTTCGGTCCCACTCCCCAGGCATGGGCCTCTAAACAGCAGCTACGGGCTCAGCCACGCTGTGCAAAGTCAGGCAAGCAGAGCCATTTTCGGTGCTAACCCAACAGAGTTCACCCTCCTCTCCACGAGAGCTGCTCGCTCTACCCTCAGTGCACAGGTCCTGGCTGCGCCCACTTGCTGTGATGCGAAAGCTCCTTTCCAACACTACATTTACACGTTCTTAGGGCAACCAAGAGTCCATGCCTTAGTATATTAGTGCCCCTACGCTTCCAGAGATCTCCATAGCTGTGGGATTTTGCAGGTACACAGCGTGTACTCACAGAAAAGCACATTCCCAGACTGAACCTGACCAGGGAGATCTCCCAGCACTAGTTTCAGAGTTGACTGCAGAGCCAGATCTGAGGTCCTCGCTGGCGAAGGATGGAGGACATTCTGCAGCCTGCAAGCTTTTCAGATACCGGCAGAGTAGGACAGAGAAATGAGGTGCAGTGTCCTGCAGCTGCGACTACCTGATTACTGACACATAAAACTACATCTCAGCAGCCAGTTAAACCGATTAATAAACTCCTTGAAGATGAATTCTTTTGAGAGACCTGCACGTGACGCTAGAAGTGGGAGGCACTGGCCTACCAGAAGGGAGCCACAATGCCCAGCTGGGCTTCGTTCAGGCCGATGCTGAATTTGGGGTTCTCCACCATGATCCTGTAGTCACACGACAAGGCAACGAGACAGCCTCCCGCCGGGCTGGACCCCTGGCAAAGAGAAGGAAGGAGTGAGTCTAGGTCATGGTTACAAATGTCCCTGCACCCCCAGCCTCGCCGTTTCCTCCAGTGCAGGGAAGACACAGGGTGACAGAGCAGATGTCCCCCAAGTCTCTGATCACCTGATTCGAAACAGCCCCAAAGAAGACTTTTGATAGGTTTACCAAGGTTTATCCTTTCATTTTTCAATGCTCTTTGTTTCTTGCATTTTCCAGCCTGGAAATGTAGTTAATTGATCCATGTTACTCAGGTTGCAAACCCTGCAGTGGAGATTTGCTACGGCATTTTCTTGTAACCCTACAGGAATTTTTAACCCTACTTGAGTTAAAATGCCACAGAAACGGTTCTGTCCAGGGCCTTTGTAACACCTTCTGCCTATAAAACTTCCATTTGCGACCATCTTTGCCACGACTCGGTGCTTGCTTAGCCCTGCACAGGATGCCTGCGGGAAGCCGCTCGGAGACCCAGCTGCCTTCAAAGACAGTCTACGGACAGACACAGAACCGTGAGCTGCCAAAGCGGCGCTGCACTGAAAAATGAAACCGAGACACTGAGCAGGTAACAACCCATCTGCGGACACTGAGATTCAGACGGCACTTCCCTGCTGGCCAAGCACCACGGCTGGAGGAGCAAAACCCGGTGAAAAAAGGGCCCACAACAAACAGCACTGCCCGAAGCACTGCTGCCCACAGGGCCGAGGACAAGCACTTGCGGCACTGCTTGGCCGCCTCCCATCTGCTCCGCTCGAGCAAAGCAGTGTAACGGCCAAGCAAGTGACCCTGGGCAACTCCTACGAGTCTCATCAGTGAGACAGCAGCCGGTGGGCACGTGACAGGCGTTCTTTGGACACCTTCCACACCAACTGCGCAGCTTCTCCGGCACTCATCTGCCAACGATGCCCCTCTGGGCTTTACCACTGGCCTACAGTCCTCCTCCGGGTCCTCCAGCCTGGAGGACAGACCCAGTTGAGTTCTTGGGACAGGGTCTGGCTCTTGCTGCACAAAACACTGCCAAGGGCGCTTCAGTCCCCATAGGCAGGACACGAGTGCCGTGCAAGCTCTCCACCGCAGCCGAAATGCTGCTATACCCCAGCAGCACCTGCAGCTTACATGGAGTCTGCAACATCCCACTCTTCCGTACCTTCCTACACCCCAACGCGCCGAACCGACAGACACCAACTTCACCCAGACATGGCAACAAATACATCCCTGTATTTGTTTCAGCACTGACAAGCCTGATTTCTTGGCTGTCCCTGCCCATGTGGTGCAAACAAGCCGCAGCAAGTGACAGACCGCACGGAGCGAATAAGAAGGCGGATCTAAAAGACGTACATTGACTGCAGCGACTGTCACCATGTTGGAGCCGTACAGCCGGAGCCACATCTCCTGCACAGCTCTCCAGAACTCGGCGTAGTGCTCCATGCTCTTCCCGCACATCTCGGTGATGTCCAGGCCAGATGAGAAGATTTTGGGGATGGCCTGGAATCGGGAAAATACAAACATCACTGAGAGTCACTGCTCAGGGATAACCGTTTAGCCTTCTAACACACTCGGCCTGGCAGCCTGAGGAAAGGGAAAGTGATAATTAAATATGACATAAACCAGGGTCTTTCAGGGTTCTCAAACAATCTTCCCAGTGCTCCCACAGCCTGGACCATCCCATCACCATGGCCTGCAGGGCTGGGACTCTGCTTGCAGCACAATTTCTCGTTATCAGGGTCCCTGTGTGGGTACATCAGCCACACAGCACAAAACCTGTCCTGTCCCATTCCCAGGCACCACCTCATACCCACATCACGTCTGAAAATAAACACTGGCTTCCCCTAGCAGCTCCCTCCGGGCAGTTCAAGAGCTCTCAAGGGATGTGTCAGGTTTGCCGACAAGCAGCTTTGATTTTAATGGCAAATGACAACACTTTGTTGTTATTCTTCTGGTAGAAAAGGGCAGGGAAGAAAGAGCACAGCCCTTCCAAGAACCACCTCCCCTCCTTCTGGACCTGATCAAAGCTGCCTCCTGGCCCTCCCGTGCCAGTGACCAGCGAGCCAAGAGACCAAACACGAGCAAGGGAACGGCACCCGTGCCTCCCAAATTGCCCCACAGCTCACACCCCGAGCTGAGGACAGCACATACAGATGTGAGGACCACGCCCCGGCAGGCCCGGTCGTTCTCCAGCTTCTCCAGGCTTATGCAAAACTCGGTGAGGAAATCCAGGCTGAGGCTGTTGACTGGGGGACTCTTGAACTTCATCGTGGCGACGCCTGTGCCGTGGTAAACACAGAGACATCAGAACCCCCCACCACAGCAGCACGCGCTGCCTTGCCCAAGGGAGCTTCACCCGCCTCCCCGTTTCCCTGCTCACCCAGATCACGTCTTTCCACTCCTGGCTCTTCAAAAAGCCCCCAGAGCGGCGGGGCCAAGAGCAGGGCCCTGCCTTTGCCCACATCTGCCCGCAAGCCGAGCTCACTCAGCCAGTGGTGAACCCGGAGCACGAACGGGCACGCGTGCGGTGGCGTGCCGTGTGTCCCAAAGACCAGCCACCTTTGGGGTGACGCTGCCTGGCAGCTCCCTTCTCTCTGGGCTCACTGGATAAGGTCGAGCCTCCAGCTTCTATCACAGTAAACATCCTGTGCCCAGGGGATCACACACCTTTCTGAGCCTGCTGACAGCACCGCCACCCTGGGCAGCACCGCAGGAAGGGCTCCGAGCCCTTGTCCCCTCTCAAACGGCACTACCCTACCCTAAAAGGTCCTCACCGAGTGCTTAGTCAGTGTGCTGCAGCCGCGCCCAGGCTGCGGACAGCGCGAGGACGCACCCAGGGGCCCGGCAGCCAAAGGCAGGTCCTGGGAAGCCTCAAGGAGAGGCACCCTTTGTTCGGTGTGGGGCCGTGGCCCCGCGACAGCTATTCCTGGCAGCCAGGACACAGAAATCCCCAACAGCTGCTCCCTGAAGGAGCGTCTGCCACTCTACCAGGTCCCCAAAGCAGGGACCCCACAGAGGGGACGGGGCACGAGGTCTGCCCACGGTGACAGCTAGGGTTTGCCTGTGGCACCAGCGCCAGCCACCTGAAGTGCCCACGACTGTTGAGACTCCCGTCCCCAAACACTTCTCTCTGAGGGTCCTAAGCAGCTGAAGCTGGAACATCTAGGGCTTCGGTGGCTTTCCACGCCCAGAGCCACATGTGCTGTGGGGCGGGGGGGGGAGAGGCCCCCTGCCTGCATCCCACAACACCCCGCGGGACGCAGGCGACGCTGCAGAGGT